CATTTGGTAAGCATCAATATTTACTACTGAACACAAACTATGCTTCATTAGATATATTGCAGAGAACATGGAGTTAGGAATCACCAAATTAAGTATTGAAAAGTTGTCTTAGCATTATCAAGTTGAGTAATAGTTTCTGAGCTAAATTTTTTCATCTTTAAAACTAGAATACTATTACTGTCATTCATTATTTTCATAATTGTGGTAAAGCTTCTAACAAAATACCTGGCATTATTCACCCTGTACTTATTATTTTTTCTACTAATATGAACAATTATATGTTTTTATATTTAAGTAACTATAAAATTATAAAATATGACCTGGCCTACTCACCTATTCAGTTTTTTATATAGTGACTAAACATTTGCTGATCATCCAAATGATAACATTGTATCAGTCATTACTTGTTTTGGGGGTCACAGTGGAGGGATGATCATGAACACAGATGTCTCTTTCAATCTGTTGGTGAACAGAATTTTGGAAGGTCCAAGATAAAGACAAGTTTCCAAACAGGATGGGGAATAATATTGAGAATGTTGAGGGGTGAGTTTCTGAAATGTTGAAAGGTTATTGAATTATGTTTGGTGCTAAGCATTATTCCTTGGCTGTATGTTGTTATGCCAAAAATTCAGTCAAAGGAATGTCAAATGCCAACAAATGAAGCATATATATTTCATATTATTTATTTATATTATTTAGAGGGAAATTCAGAGAAAGGCAATATTCTGCTTTTATTTCATTTTCTTTCTGCTTTTGTTTTATTTTCTTTATACTGCTTCTTATTTTCAGTGTTCCTAAAAAAATATTCTTCTCATGTATCTGACATGTTTAGAATACAGCACAGGTTTTTTTTAACTTTTATTCTGTAGGTAGAATCTATTTTAGTTTGAACCAAACAGTCAAGAATAACACTAATCAAGAAAATGGAGGAACACATACCTGCTTCTTTCATCTGGCAGCTGACCTTGGGTTGTCGTTTGGTTTCCTTCTCACTGCTCTGATTTATCTCTTCCTCTGAGTCTTTCTGGGCTCAATCTCTGCCCTCTTCACCTCCCACAATGTAAGTCAGGTGCGTTCATCCTTCTTTTTCAGTATCAATAGCCACCTGTGTACTGATGCTTCCCAGTTTCATGGTCCTGGGCAAGCAGCTGTTCCTGATAGGCAGGCACACATATTCAAACCTTGCAGAATACTCCACATGATTTGTTACAGTTCACTCAGGCAGAAGCATTTTCTCACTCAAACTCACCTTTGTGTTCTCATCTCACTTACTAGTAACACCCCTAACTCCCGTTCACTGTATTGATTCTTCATCTCACTCATTTTCACAGTCTCTCAGTTGTCTAATCCGCTGATTCTATCTTCTTAGTTTTCTGTAAGTCTGTCCTGTGCTTTGTGTCTGCTATCATAGTCTCATTTCATACAAAGTCATATTTCATCTTAAACACAGTATGGTTCATAAATGGTCTTTCATTTCTTTCTTCTATTCTTCTCCATCAATCAATTAGCTACATTGACACCATATGCTCTTTTCAGTGTGAATTGGGCTTTATCACTTACTCGTTTAAAGTCCTCAAAAGTGGGGCTGGGGATTTAGCTCAGTGGCATAAGCACCTGCCTGGCAAGTGTGAGGTCCTGAGTTCGGTCCCTGGTACCACAAAAAAAAAAAAAAAAAAAAAAATCTCAAAGGATTCATCAAACTCTCTGGAATAGTACACAAGGCCCCTAAAATAGAGCATTTAATAAATGGAGGCCGTTTATAGCTGTCAGGTCCCCATTTCCTTTCTGACTCCTCTTGAACTGCAACACAGTCCTGATGGCACTTCCATTTACTGCTATTCACATCCTTCTCACAGAATTTGGTGATAAAACACTAACTAACTGACTATATATAAATATATATATATGTTATATACATTCATACATACATATATAGACATACATTTTCATTTTGTATAAAATTCTTTGATTTTCTACACTTTTGGCTCTGTTCATTATACATAAAATAATTATCAATAAATTCTTAATTGTTAGGATCACTCACTGGGAGTGCTTTTTTTCTTTTTATCTGCATAACAAATAAATGTACTAGAAATAAGAAATTTTAAACAAGGACTTCTATACTGAAAAAATAAGGAAGTAATAAGATATTCTCAAATGTGCTTTCTACAAAATAAAACTAAAAATTTCAAAGTTACAATTTTAAATTTTTCCTAACCTGCATTATTGACACCTTACTCCATCAGCAGAATTATTTAAAAGGTTTTTGGTGCTTTTTTTTGGTATGAGACCAATCGCCTCTATTGCTCATAATACACACTAAATGTTGATTATGAAACTTAAGAACACCGGTGTGCTTTCATTCTCTTGAATGGTTTTACACTGTCTTGTTATGTTTGATACTATAATGTGTGAATGCATACTCAAATATTTCAAGGAAAGAGACACTATGGTAGCTACAGTTATGTCAGGTTGTTTTGTGGTGAAACACTATGTTGCTTAAATTGTTCTGTTCTGATCTGTTTTGTTATGTGATCTTTTATTTTAATCTTTTTTTTTTTTTAAAAGAACACCAGTGTGGTACAGAATTGCAATGTACTGAGCCGCGCTTAAAATTGTTTCCAAAAATTGAATCTGATGTTATAGTAAAATAAAAGCTTTCACCCACCACAAGAGTGGAAAAGACTCTATGAGATAAGAGATTAAAAGCACACATTGAAAATAAGAAACCAAAGTAAAAAGAGTGAAAGAGGAAAGTATATTTTAACAGTAGGGACATCACAAGAAAAGAAAAGAATGAAACTGTAGACACACAGGAGGTAGAGTTAGGAGTCCAAATTAATGACAAAAATGAAAAGTCTTCTGGTAGAAAATAGAAAAAAATGTATAAAGTAGAGCAAAAGGATCTTCCAATAATAAATTTAAGTTTTGATGCCCCCAAATTGCTTTACTTTAAGAATGTCATATGCATGAAGCAATAATTTTAAAATTTTCTTAAATTTAGAACTTGGAGATTTTTAACTTTGACAACAATTTTAAGGCTTACTCACAGAAAATCATTGATGCAAATGGATCCAACTTGTTTAGTTAAAAACATGAGAGTACTTTGTAATTAGTAGTATCCTTAACAGCTGTGTTGCTAGCTGAGCAGTTTTACTAAATGACTTACAAATTTTTTTTTAAACATAAAGTGTTTTGTTGTTAAGCCTTCAGTACCTCCAGAGTCTAACACTCAATAGTTATTCCACTCCTGTCCTAAGTGTCCTTTGGAGCTGTTACTTGCAAATATTTTTTAGTTACACAGATACATAAATGCACACTATAATTATACAAATATTAACCTGGAACATTAACAGTAAATTTCAACGACCCATCTTAAGAGCAGATGATAAAGTCTAAAATATAAATCATGTATTATACTTCTCATCTCCGTCTCTGCCCCTGTCTCTCTCTTAATAACAATGTAATGATGAACTTTCTTATTTGTCAAAATGTCTATAAAGTTTCATGCTAAACAATGCTTTTATGAACTTGTAACTGTAGCTAAGATGTTATAATAGTACTTTCATAGAATTAAACATGTATTTGATAAAATTTTGCTATTTCGGGTGGAAAGATAAGCCACAGGGAAACAAAAAGATACCTATGAAAAACGCACAGGTCAGATTATCGTAAGAAGTGACCAGAAATATAAAGGCCCCAAGGGAAGACGGCATCTCAATCCTCTAGAAACCTCCGGGCACATAATGGAGAACACATCATTTAAGATGTCAATAAGAATAGATTTTGAAGTCAGAGACAAAAGACATGTCCGTTCTCTTCAGACTGTTATCTTTAAGGTTTAGATACTCATCCTATTTTATATGCTGTTGCATGCTTTTGCTGATTTTCCCCCCCCTGCATTTTAACTTTTTAAAAAAGTGTCTGCTACAATGACCTCCGTTGAGAGTTTATCACACTAAATGAATCATCATTTCTTTGATAGGCCAAACCTTTTTTAAAAAAAAAAAAAACCACTGGCTCTATTCATACAATCCCCTTTGGTTGTTTCTTATTTCTTCCCTTACCTTAAGAAGATTGTATATGAGCCTAGAAGGCTTAGTGAATTTTCAGTGTTTTCCTTGGGCTCACTCTGAATAGGTGTGTTATTACACAGGTATGTGTGTCTAAGCTCATTGTCTGCTCTTCGATTATTGGTTCTCATACTGTGTAACTTTCACTACGGACTTGTCTCTCCAAACATATTGTGAGGTTCCTAATTATTGGCAGGGAGGGACACAATGATCCAGTCCTCTGTCCCCTCAGCCCTGTCTGCCAGGTGGTTAGTATCTCTGGGTTTTTATGCATCCTGAGGAGATCTGTCCCTTACGGAGAGGACCCTAGGGCCAGAGAGAACTAGAGCTTGTACAGCAGCCATCATGTGAGCCGCAGTTGATGCTGAAAAGCTCACTCTAGGCTATTGGGTTCCCTTCCCTTAGCAGTCTGACGGTGTGAACCACTAGCGGGAGCACACCTAAAGCTAAAGCGTGCAACCTGGATTTCACACGTTGCTAGGAGCACCACCAGCAGCAACAGTGACCTAGACTTCAGGCTTCAGCCAGGTTACCCAGGCGTCTACTCATTTCTCTCAGCAGCTGGCTTAAGGTGGCTTTGCAAATCCCCTCCCCCAGATCAGGGAAACACCTCCCTCCTTTCAGAATGCAAGAGGCAAAAAGGGACTTTCCTGGGGCTGAGAGCGGGGATTCCCTTTCAAGGAAGATGCCTTTTTTCCACTCGCCCTCGCAAGCCGAAGGCACCCAAAGCACAGGAGCTCCTGGCACCTGAACAACCCAAACACCCCGCACCCGCTTTTGCAGAGAAGGGTCTGAAAGCCCGAAATCAGCTAATGAACTCGCCCCCATTGGCTGTCCCCAAGGCTCCCCCATGCCGTCACTCTTATGCTAATGAAGGCGAGGCTCATTGGCTGGGCCTCGGGCACGGCTCCCGAGGACCTGTAGTGCGGGGAGCGGGCTCGGCCGCACCTGGGGCCGGAGCCCCCGTGCGTCTCCCCCTGCGCCGCCCCGGGCTGCGCCCCGCGCCCGGAGGATGCCCTGGAGGGGGCGTCTTTCCTCAAGCAACGCTGCGCTCACCCCGAACCCTAGCCGCTCCTCCTAGGCACCGCGCATTGTTTTCCCCCTCGGGGCGAAGTAACTTTTGCCTTCCCGCCTCCCCCCAGTCCTGGGGACCAGAGGCGGCGCCGAGCCTGGGGGCGGTTCCTTGGCAGCGCTGATTCGAGTCTGAGCCAGACTTTGGGTCCTGGGCTTGGTTTGCATCATCCCCATCACACCCCTGGAGAGCAGCGCCCGCCCTGCTCCGCAGCCTCGGCTTCCGGCGCCCCCCGCCCCTGCCGCCCCTTCCCCTGCGCCCGCGCCTCGCCCCGGCGTTTTACCATCCTCTCCCCCGCTCCGCAGCGCTTTCCTCCTGCTCCCTCCTGTCGTCCATTTGTCGTTTGATGTTCCCCACTCTTTTGAGGAAGGATGGTTGATCTGGAGAGCGAAGTGCCCCCTCTGCCTCCCAGGTACAGGTTTCGAGATCTGCTGCTAGGGGACCAAGGATGGCAAAACGACGACAGGTGAGTAGTGTGGCGCAGGGTCGTTCCCTTCTCACGACTAGGGGAAAAATGACCGAGGTGGGAGGCTAAAGGGGGAAAGAAGAGAGAGGAAGAAAAGAGGCGAAGGGGGGACTGCAATCCTGGGCGAGGGAGTCAAGGAACCCTGACGCCTCTCTCCATTTTGACTCTGCACAGCACTTGCTGCAGACAGGAACTCCTCGTGCTCACTTCTGAACTCTTGCAATGTGTTTATTACATTTATCCGGTGCTTATTCTTTGATCTGTCGGTGCTTTCCTTGGCCGAGTATGAGGCTGCTGTAACAGAGGCACAGTGCATCCAAACGCCACGCAGTACTGCTGCCAAATAATTTTCAGGATTTTCCTTAGGTGTGGTTCAATCCAAATTGATGGAAACAGGACATTAGAAACTTAAAAATCTCCTGCACTTGTTTTCTTAAGCCTTGTCAGGATTTTCTTGAGTTAGGTGTCTTCCTGCCACTGTGAATTTTGATGCTATTTAAACATTGGGAGTTTCAGATAGGCAGTCGGTATAGATATGTAACAGGTAGTTAGTGAAAATGACCACCACTGCATAGAAAAATGCTTATTTTCAACAGGTAACTGTGAATATTATGAATAATGGTATATGCATAGCATGATACAACCTTTCCATGAAGTATATATTTCACCTAATCAGTATATATGTCACCACATATAAAACTAAGTTTCAAAAGTAGAATATATATATATATATATATATATATATATATATATATATGTATATATATCAAACATATTGGTCATGTGTTTTTATCAATAGCATCAATGCTTATGTCAACTTACAAAATCATTCTAGCTATCTCTACCAGAATATAAAAAGCACGTTTTGCGTTTTCATTGCATTCGGTGTTTTCTAGAATAATCATTTTATGTATTGCTTGTCACATTTTCTTGTTTTAAAATGATGTACATATCATAACTAAGCTTTTGACTCCATTAAAATGTTTTCTTGAAGTTCAGCTTTGGTATTAATGTTTTATTTGAATTAAATAAAAGGCCCATTATTGGCCAATCTGCAATCTCTTCATTTGCCATTGGGCAGTGGACCCTCCTTTTCCTCAGTTCTCAGCTCTCGGAGGGACTCCTATTCACTGAGTTAAGGACTTTATCGTGGGCATCATTCATCTTTGTTAGTCTCAAAATAGTAATTTAAAGGTATAAGGACCTTTTGTAGACTATAATTCTACTAAATTGCTTCTTTTTAAGGAAAAAACATCCATATTCATTTAAAGAACAAACACCTGACTTTAGCCAGTATGCTTATAACCTATGATGTTCTGATTAACTGAAGAAATTTAAAGAATATTTAAATAGATTTGCAATACTAATTAGCATTAAATAAACTGTATTAGCTAACATAAATGATTGATCTCCTCTAGTGTTTATAGTGATTGAATTTATCTTTATTTCAGGCCTCGGATTTAATGTAGAAAAAATATCTTCATTGTAGAAAGTTTGAGATGGGCTGACTATGAAGAGAACATACTTGGTCAAAGGGATAGCAGTGCTGTTTGTATTTAGATATCATGTCCAGAATGCTAATTGCTCTTTTGATGTTACTCATCCTTTTAACAATGCTGCAGAAGTATTTCAGTGAATAAGAATTTGGGTTAGTTGAACACTGAGTCACTGCTATATTAAAAAGTTTTGCAGTCATTTAAAATTTCTATCATAATTAAGCTCAATATTAACTTAAAATCAAGCCACATTTACCATTCAAATAAAATGCTAAACATTTACATTGTATTATTTTTAAAAATGTAAGTGACCATGTGACTTCCCTAAAAATTATTGTTTAATTTCATTTCCATTTATTGTTAATCTTTAAAGACCAGATACTCAGAATCAGAGACCTAAATTTCAGTGTTTTCCTTACTCTCTCAGGAAACAAGTGGCATTGGACTAGCCTTCAGCTAATTAGATTATGAGATTTGGGGTTTTTATCTTTTATAGTGGCAATATCTGCCTCATAAATAACTTCATGCAATAGTGACAAGAAGGAAGGGCTAATGCTATGTGTTTTACCTGTTATATGTTATTTCAATCACTCAATTCCCAAATATTAGGTAATTATTTTAGGGACAGGGCAACTGAGGTGCTGATAAATTCAATATAAGCAATACCCTGGCTCAGCAATGCCTTACTTCACCAACAATTCAGTTTGAAAACAGAAGTGTTGGGCAAAAATTTGCTTCTATTTGGTAACTCTGCTTTGGGTGATAAATGTGAATGCGGCCCCTTCACAGAATCCTGGAACCAATTAAGTTTGTGAACTGAGGCATCACTTTGTGACTCTTTCTTCAAGAAAGTCTTAAGGAAAACAAAGTGAAAAACTTTTTTTCCATTTGACTTATCTGACTTTATAATAATAAATTCTATAGTACCTGGCATAGTTCACACTCTCCATTAAATGTTGATTCCATCTCTTTTTTACTTTTGATTTTCAATTTGCACTGCTTTTCTTTATGTTTTGCTTGTTTGTTTTGTTTTTGGGATCCTAAGCAACATGTATTAAAATTATTTCTTTTGTCATAGGCAGGCTCACAAATTTCTTTTTGAAATTATGTCTGAGTAGCAGTCCTGATCTGCTGATTTATCTTCTAATCTCAATTCCCACAGAATTTAGGGGAGAACTTTTTTTCCATATACAAGTGACTAGATCATTTCCATTAACAGATACCTAAGTGCTCAGCTCATGATCTTTGAATTTCTTTGTATGAGCATCTTTTGCCTGAGCGACAACTAACCCAGGAAGGCACTCCAGTGGTGGTGAACCTGTGGCATGTGTGCTGCAGCAAGCACACAGTGCCATTTCTGTTGACCCTCTAGCAAATTCGCTCCAACATTAGCCCAGCAGCTGATCATTCAAGTTTAATTGCAGAGATGGCACTTTGCAATAAATAAGTGGATCTTGGGCTGCAGTTTGGACACATGTTCCCTAAAAGGTTCATACTGGCTCCCAACATTTCTCTGCTTGACTACTATTTTCTGAAATCATTTCTTAAATACAGTACATTGCAGTCTTTTCTCAAGTTTGGTTTCTGGGTGTTGTGGTGACAGTGTCGAGGAGGGTGGATACAAATCATGCTGGCTGTCTTCTGGATCTGGTTACATTTTAAAAAAGATGGAGCTGTTGTGTTCTAACTGTGGGAAGAAGACACTTCCTGCCTTGCTTCTCTTTAGGCATTTTAAGCTAAATCTTAGTAGGACATAATTGTCTGGCATGTGAAAATAAATGAAGCATATATTAGAAACAGAAAAGGGTATTATTAAAGAAAATATATGATGCCCTGTTTGGACTTAGAAAGCATGCATTTTATACCATAGATTTTTTTTTTGTGAAATAGCATTGGATGATAGGTCACCTAAATTTGTATTATGTTACATTTTCATAGGTAATCCCCTGCTCAATACATAGACATACATCTAATGCACGTGTAGCATTATAATAATTTGTATTGTATGTTAAATGTGTGTGTGTGTTTGTATATGTGTTACCTCAATGTCATCTTTATTTAATTACCTCTTTATTTGCATTTTGATATCTTTTTCTGGTAGAATATAAGAGAACATAGTTAGACATAGCAGTGCAGAGAATTCAGCATGTTGACAACATTAGTTTTGTGGTGCCACAAAGTAAGTTTGAGAAGAACATTACTTATGCCTTAGGGATGTCTGCTGTATATATGATACCTATTTATTTATTTGGTATGCTGAATAAAAACAACTATTTCAAATTGTTTGTATAAATGTCTCTAATGGTCACTTATCCATTCAGCTAATGTTTGCTACATCTCATTAAAGTTTTGAAGGAATATAAAGAGAAATATGAAACAGTGCTTTTTGATGTAATTGAGGTACTTGTTGATATAATTAGAAGTGAATTTCCCTTGGAATATTGGTAGTGTTGTATATGATATAATGATCTTGTAGAATTTCCAAAGGCTGTGAAGAAATTTTTGCATCATTTATAGATAGTATATTCAGCACTTGATTGAAAATAAAATAGCTGAAGTCACCATGCTAGATATAATGTATATAATGTACTCTGCATATAATATGTGGAATAATTAGCAGTTTTGGTATTATTTGATGATTGGTATTAAGATGACTAGAGATTGAGTCTTAGTGATTTCATTTGGAAGCTATTCTGTGATATGTAGACTCATTATAGTGTTAAAGGCATATTCTTTGTTTATAAAACTAAATATTTAGAGTTTTCTGTATTTAAAGACTGGTAAGTTTTAGGTTTTAAATATCTTTCGACAACTAGTACAAACCCTTCTCTTCTTTTATCAAGAGTTTCTGAGTTTAGAACACAATACATTTGATGTGAATAAATTGTCACAATTCCAATTACTGCTAATGGACAATTCTCAGTTGTAGTCATAGAAGAGTAAGTCATTTATTTAATTAAGACCATTATTGTCTTTGCAAGTCAAGCCAGTTGTTTCAACTCTGGTAATTTAAAGTGTATTTTTAATGATTTTAGGTAGCACTTAAAAGTAATGCATACAAATCTCTCTGATTAAAACCATAAAAAGATTTGAACAAAAAGTACAGGTTTCAATTAACAGTTAAAGAAGTATGTGTAAAATAGAGACAGATTTGAGTAGCTTTTGGAATATGTGCAATTTTTGATATCATATAGAGCAAAGTATAGTCCTACAGTACAAATTTTGGGAAGGATTTTTGCATTGTTTTATGTAACACACATAGGATTCTTTCCTTTTTACATTCTGCAATAAATAAAATTGAAATTTGATTTCTCAAGTTACATAGAAAGCTTTTTAAATATTTGAACCCATTCAACCCTGATCATACTAAATACTTTCAACTCCTATTCTGTGGAATACTTTCTTATTTAATTAGTTTGAGTAATATCTTTCTATGAGTCTAGCACTTTTGTCTTTTAAACGTTCTTCTACTGGTTAGTATGTGAGACTTTTATTTCCTCCATA